GCCAGTTCCTCGTTTCTTCGTTCAGAGTGAGCTTGACTTGTCCCACCCTCTGTGAACTCCTGTCTCCCGTAAGTTCCACAAAGATTCGAATACTTTCCATTGCTTACGGAGAGGTTTCTAATCTCAATTGTCACATATCTCTTTCCATAGATAATGCTCCTCATCAAGTTCATTCTAATTTTCAACATCAGCGAATGCCTTGCATTCCCTGATTGGGTGAGATATTGTGTTCGGGGAGCGGTGGAGTTGGAAACACATGAGAGAGAAGAGGTCTTGATAATTAAACCATCATACAACACGATTGCCTTGAGTAAGGATGTCATCACATCATGGTTGGTTGGCACACAGTGCAGAGTTTACGTTTGGGTCGGGACAGTCGCCACCACGGACAAAATGCTGTCTTCCATCGAGAAATTCAAGGCAATATATGCATCCCTTTGAAAGATTCGTGAGCGAGTACGGGGGAATATTGGTTGTTTACAACACGTTCAAGTTCAGAGCTCAAGCGCAAAAACATGTGGGGCCCCCGTCATCTTCTTCCTTATTCATCGAAGTCTCGACCACAGCATGAATGAGATGTATCCCCCTCATCTTCCCCCATCATTTCATGACTCGATTGTGAACTGTTTTTGCTGACACTCACATCGGAATAAATAGTAAATAAATTCCATCGCTGCAGTTTCATTTGCAAGTTCTCGAGGTCAACATGTCTTTAAGTAAATCATATATTTTTGTTCCTGCGGATACTGAAGGGAATGGTCATGGGGTATGTTTTCCTTCCATTTTACCGTAGTTGTCAACAGATATTGATTAGAATAGGCAAAATCCACCATCGTCTCGTAGCATCTTTCCCTCTGTCAGTTCCTAGTTTCTTCTTTTTGCGTGAGCTTTACTCTATTCCAACCTCAGTGAACTCCTGCCTACCGCAAGTTCACAGGAATTCGTCGATAATAATAGATCTGAGTAATCAAGCAATGACCATGATTTTTAAAGTATGCAGAGTCGTTAGAAACGTAACCAGAGATGTGTTTAACACATCTCGTCTTTCACGTAGAGACACTCATGGCCAGCATCATTCAAGCTTTCTCTTCTGGTGACTTTTTTTTCAGAACTATGATGAATGAACCATTATTTCGAAATAATTATCAAATGATCCTAGTACATGTAGCAGTCCCACGTGAGACGCCTCCTCTCCCTACTACGCTACCACGACAATAGTCATAATCGCGTACACTTTAACCTCCGCTGAAGAGGTGTATGATAGCAAGATTCACACGAAGGAGATAATAGACTCCGGAAAAAGACCATCGAAGAGAAACTCGGGAGTCCACGTTCGTCCTTCAGATGGCATGCAGACGACGCGGACGTCGAAAAATGTCTCAAGACGGAGGAAGTTCGAGCAAAATATAATGTTCTGCGGTAATTCCATTCCATACCTCATACTTGTTAAAATTCCTGTTTGCAATTTTCATCGAAGGCACATGCCTTCCCTCCATCCATGAAGTTTATTAATTCACTGAAATAATATTTTGTTATGTTCCTCGCTGCACAATCTTCTCAACACGTGTTCTCTCTCCCTCTCTCTTCACAGAAGCGATGGAGACTGAATGAGAACCTTTTCCCTGACCCCTACTCCTGTTCTGACTACATGTATTCATATGGCGTTAAAAGTTTTCCCGCTCTCATCAAATCACGTTTGGATTGCTTCCCTTCTCATCTCAAACATCATCATCATCATCCTTCAATACTTTTCCTTGTTCTTCGTATATCGATTCTATCGAGGTAGAAATTGGTGCCGAGTAATAAAATATCCCTTTTTTCCACCAACGCATATTTTCTAGTCTTATTTGGCTGATTCTCATCCACACGTCCGGGACCGTTCGTGAAAGGCAGTGGGTCTTGTATGTTCTCTATTTCTTCCACAACAGCGACGCCGCAAGACTCAGGGATAATGACAGTCAGGGGTCGTGGATGTAAACAGTGGATCATGAGGGAAAAGGGAAGACAAGAGCAAAGAACTATAAATACATCATGGGGAAACCCTCTCCGACTCCCCTCCCCAACACGTCCTTGACCGTCAGGGGACTGGGGGGTAAATATAGCGTAACGGAAAAAGGGGGGCAGCACGATCGGGAGATAACGTGTCTAAACACATTGGCATAATTAAATCTTTCATCCGAGCCTATTGATTTCCCTGATGCAAAACGGTAATGACGAAAGTCAATTAAACTGGGATATTATGACGCAAGATTCATGACAATATTTTCCAAATCGAAAAATTGCTTCATAAAGGTACGTGGTTAATGAAAATCATCTTGCAGCCGATAATTCAACGTTAATTCACTGAGTACTCGTATAAATCAATGATGACCTGAGGTTAAATCATAGGGAATTATGGTTATATAAGAAATAAGATATTGCTCCAGGCAGCTCCAGGCAGCTCCAGGCTGCTCCAGGCTTGCTCCAGGCTGCTTCAGGCTGCTCCAGGCTTGCGCCTCCCGTGAAACCTACCCTTTTTATACTACTGATCGGTACGACGTTTGCTCATCTCCAGTCCTTAGGTACTTCCCCGCGCGAAAAGCTGCTATCGAATATAATTCTTAGCGCAACCGATATTTCTCTCGCGGTTTCCTTAATGAAGGGGTTTCACTTTAGAATTGAACATTTCAGTTTGCCTATTGGACTAACATTCTTGATTCCTTTGTCTGATATCAGTTAACCATGGCCGCATGTGGACGTTGCAACCCTTGACTGCGACCAGAGTTCCACTGAACCATTCTCCCATCATTTCCTATCCCTGACAACATATGACGTTCCATTTCTGTCCGTTTTTCATGACAAAGTGACCGAAGTTCATTTCCGTGTTGCACCTTACTGATAGCGGAGAGGACATGTCCTTGGTAACATTTGGTAAGAAACTCAAGTTTTCTATGTGTGACAATTGTCCAGAAACCCATCTCGAGCTAACCGTATTTTCCAATTGACTAGATACCCATGCTGTGGAAGTGAAGCAATTGTCCAGGAACCCATCTTGAGCAGAACGTGCACATTTATTGGCCGGAGAACCCTTGCTGCTGGCGCGAGACAATTGTCTAGAAACCCCGCCTGGGGATTCCTTACCTTGAATTTCTGCTGGCTAGAAAGTTGCAAAGAAAATTCGTATTTGTAAGAGTCCATTTGCGCATTAATTATAGAACTTCAGTAAGTATATTTTGGATATAAGAACACGCAAAAACAACATTGGCTTTGCTCATTGCTTCGATGAATTGCACTGTTTAAGAATGACTGGTGCACTTGGAGACCAATAGGAATATCCTTTTTTGTCTTTCTTCGGATCTCAACATTCTCATACATAGGAAATCTGTGAATGAGGGATACTGTGGGAGTTCGTAACAATAAGCGAAACACCGGATTAATATCTGTTCCACAACGGATTCATAAAACACATATTTTTATTCACATTTGTGAACGAATACAGCTGTATTTGAATTCTAGAGCAAAGAGTTTCAAGTGATCATGAAAAATGGGGCATTTTAAGAATGGACAAGGGGGCTAATTAAAGGAATGAAATAAATTGTAATGATAATCAAGAACAATTGGATAAATAATAAAAGCAAGGAAGGCAACGAAACATATTATAACATTTGTTCCAAGACAATAGCACAATAATGCGAATTAGTGCAAATGCAATATTTCTTTGAGAAGCAGGAAACTTCATAGTCTGCAGACAACTTATCTCCCAATACGCCAGCAATATTCATCCTCCATCANAGAGGTTCCTCTTTTCAGTGAAATGGAATCCCCACAGAAGCAGAGATCCACGAAGGACGGTGGAGGAGCTGTTTTTCCCTGTCATTGGTCTCCATGACGTCTGGTAGTTTCCCTCATACCAATGAATCTCTAATTCCTGGTCATCCACTTTCTTGATTTGCCCCAGCCACGGTCTTGATGCTTCCTCTGTATATACCGCGGCAAGGATACCTGGGCGGAGATCCTGAGTTCCGGAAAAAAATGCCTTCTCTGCGACTTGCCACTCGTCCAATGATCGGCTGTGATATAAAAAATATAGCGCATGTTCACACTCATGCAACCTCAAAGTTTGACGGTTGGAAGTTACATATACAGGGGATGGGGAAAAACCCCAGCGAATTTAAACGTATGCATCTCTGGCTCGCCATATATTCTGTAGAGTTGACATGAATAATACACATATATTTACGCATCAGAATAATACATTTCCAATTAAGGTGGTTTTGCTGAAGCAAAGCTTTCACAAATATTTTGAGAAAATAATTTTAAAAAAGAGGAAGGACAACAAACTACCAGTATCTTCTGAGTGACTGGACTACCCTGGTCATGTTTGTCAGCATAAGATATTTGAAAATCTGATCACGCATTGAGCAACTCCCTCTGTCGATATTAGTTGCTCATCAGTCATTATTAACAACGTGAGGCCAGCCATAAATATGCATTTTAGTATGTCGGCACCTAACCAGCTTAAAATATCCCGAAAGGCCATAGACGATAGTGACATGTGGTCCATTTAAATATGAAAGGATATCATGCTTTCACAAGCATATGTACAGGGTGGACCAAACAAAATAGTTTTCAACGATGCGCTATACTGCAATCACTACACATATTTTAATATGGTCTAAATCATTTTGAGAGAGGAATGACTAAACTTTAAAATATTGTACTTATATTTGAAATATCTTTAACAGTTTCAGAAATGCAGAGGCTCATATGAACTACAAGCAACAAATTTGCTGTTTTTACTGCAGAGGGGATGGGCTGGGGCGGCGGAAGGTCAAATACAATTTGCGTCGGAAGCGCGACGACGCAGTAATTGTTAATGAGACAAGAAACCTCATGATATCCAGCATTATATAGATTGAACATTAGAGGAATGACGTTGCTTAACAGATATACCACAACTTTTTCTAGGACTTATGGAAGCTTAGATTGGCTATAATTTGAATACAGAGGAAGAAATGTTTGATTATCTTTATCATCTGATGGCGAGGTCCAATTCCTTGGGAAGGCACAGTTCCTTCAAAGCCCTGTGTAACACCTAGGTAACATTTCCTTACTTGCACAAGGGGTCCAAAAAAGGTTTTGCCCTTGATCAGCAAGGTAAGTGCTCATCATGGAACTTCTTGGGACCCTGCTGGTCGCATTGATCCTGTGTTGCATTAGCTCCTGGATGTACAGAGTAGGTGTCTGAAAGTGAAAGTAAATCCATTATTGAAATCTCTTTGGCACTTAATTCGAAATAAAATTTATCTTTGAAACATTACCAACAGTCGTGTGTCTGGGGAGAAGTTTTCCCACGCTTGTATGATGTCTCCATCCATCCGAGGAAAGTAGCTCGGAATGTAGTTCTTCACATCTTTCAGACCGCACCTTTCCCAGTCTGGAGGAGTCAATATTGAGAAGGCCTCGAGGTCTGGCTTCGACTAACGTCAGAGGGAAAGGCAACAGTGTCAATTTCCGGGTGGGCAATTTGTATGGTACGTAAGGAGACCTGCCATAATTTCTCCACTTGTTAAAGCAATATTTCAGTGTGCTGAGGGAAAATAACAATAAATCTCCCAATAGTGTGTAAATCGTTATTTTGGTACTCGATCTGGCCACACTATGTGACAGGAAGAGCAACATCCCTGTTTGACATCGAATCGATGAGATTATTTGTCACAGTTGGGTCCAGGTTTCCCCATGTTCGAGGGAGCAGTTAACACCATGTCATAAGATCATTAAGGTCAATATGCATACTACTTCTTATGGATTAATGACGTCAGTTAAAAAGGAGGCTTGATTATCGAATGTATGCTTCCAATATTTCCCATATATACTATGACTACGTACAGCACATCCTATTTTGAATTTAAAATATATATTGCTGCTATTTTCCTGCTTACCTTAAGGCACAAGTATCCAAGATCTGGGCCAAGACATGTCTTCTCATATTGGACATCTCTCTCGTTTGGACACCATTCTTCTTCAGCGTGTTTTCGGACGAACATCTGTGTGATGCCATTGAGCTTTCGAAATCGGAACCCAAGCGGCTTGGATTGCCCCTTAAAGTGACGTGGGAGATGTGGCTCAATCACAGATTTGAAATTATGCACAATATCTATTTCCTCAGTGTGAAGAGCCATGTTTCGTCCCTGCCTTTGAATTTCACTCAGGCAATGCAATAGCGCTGCAAGCAAGACATGTTGAAGAATGCTTAATAAAAAAAGCAATGGAACAACATGGGCTATAAAAATGGTTGGGATTATATGAATATTGTGACTTCAAATCTCAAAACGATATTCAAGCTCTTGTCACACTTTATGAACTGTCAGGCGTAAAGCAGCCATGATTCTGTTTCTCAGTTCATGGTGATTCACGCCTTTGGACTTTTTCTTGTGACCATGTTAAGGACGTTGTTTGCTCAAGAAAAGTAGAAAATCTCCAAGAATTGCAGAACAGAATCGTCGCAGCTATCTAGTTACGCCTGATACTTGCATATGATGCGGCAATAGCTCGAACATCGTTTGGATATCTTCATAGTCATAAATGAGACCTGCATGGAATTGCAATAATGGGTAATTGAGTTGCTCCTTCTTTTACTGGTTGAATCATTTGATTTCGGGGATTTCTTAGGATATTAATTTTAAAACTTCTGGGTGTCCCAAAATGCATTTTTTGACACCCTGCATTTCTGAAAAAATCTTGTTCCTTGAACTTCGGTATAATAGAGAAGGAGTTCCACTTCCTTTTCTCCAGGCTCAAACCTACGCAATCCGTATAAGAATATGTTGCGAAAAGAAACTTGCCTACGAATGTGAGCGCTTCAGTGTCGCGCAGGTACTTGTTTATTGAGCTGAAGAGCTGATCGATGTCCTCATGAGTATGCCCAACTGGGTGGAAGTTCAGGACCACCTGTTTTCGGTAACAAAGTTTGAATGAGTATACGTTTTGCTCTCCTTGTAACTCTCTTGCCTAAACCTTTTTTTAAGTGGAATGAAACTTCCAGATTGTGTTGTGTTGGAGGAAAGCGTGCAACCTTCAATTTGTTGACCAGCTTTTTTTTCCAAACAAATTTCTTAAAGAACAAAAAAAGGGAAATTAAAAGAAGCTCACCTCTTCAAATATGTCAGTGTCTACGAGAAGATGTGCGAGAGCACACGTGTACCTATTTTTATTTTCTCTGGCGCAGTTATCCATTTGCACGAAAAGCTTTCTTCCAAGTTCTTGCTTCAGATGCATGAGTGATCTGAGGATTGTCTCAACGCAGAGGTTGGAGTCATGAGGAAACTGGGACATGTCCACATAAGCAAACTCTCGAATGCCTTGGGATGTGTATGCCATGATCCCTAAGAAAAGTAATGAACATAAATCACACCATGTAGTGATCATCAAACACTATTGTGATAAATAATATGAAAACCTCATTATGAAGAAAGAAAGTTGTTTGAATTATAGATAGTTTTGAGTGCATCTCATACTTGCATTTTACTCCTTCCAACAGTTTCAATGCTAAAATAAGCTTCAATTCTCGAAAGAGTTTAGCGTATTTTTCGGATTCAAGGGGTGTGTTCTGGGCATCTGAGGTAGCAGGATATCATAACTTGATGAATGTCGAGAAATATGTGGGGACTTAGAATGGCAGACCAATTCAAAAGCCAACTAATTCATACCTACCCCAGAGGTATATTGGTCCCTCATAAGTGCGGTAGTCAAAATACATTGAAGTCTTCCCTACCTGTGATATGAGTGATGAGCTTTGGCAATGCTGCAGTCTTCTTGTCCTCCACTCGGAATCTGGGAACGTTGGTTTTACTTTGGTCCATCCCATCAACTACCAAAGTAATCCAGCTCTCACCTTCCATAGCAAGGAGCTTGTGCTTTTGGTAGTTGGCCCGTTGAACCCTAAAAAGAGAATTTCCGGTCCTATATCCAGAATGTATCGAGATTGTTGTGCCGCAACCTCTTGTGGTAAATTCGATTCAGTTACTGTAATGCCTCCAGCTGCTATTCATTACTCGCTTTCCATTTCAAAATAAAATCTCCATAAATATTCATGCATGGAGTCCAAATCCAAGGTGCTGATGACAATCCTATAAAAACGTTAAATTGAATAAATAACGATAGAACAAGATAACTCTGTTTGACCCGAGCATTCACTTACTTCGCTATCCTGAGGTGTTCAGTGAGGAGATCCACCGCCGATTTCTTGTCTTTCGCGTCTTTGGCAGAGTTTCTGCTTTTCTTCAACTCGCTGCATGTATTGCAGCCGAGAAAGGCGTTTGGCTGTGAGTTAAGTGAAGCAATGGACAAGAGTTCCAGCATATAACAACTTGGGTATTGCATAATCTCTAAGTTAAGATAGTCATGCTGAACAGGTAATTCTAACTTTCCCGAGAGAAATCCGAAGCTTCTTCAAAAGCAGCGTGAAAGATGTGCACTGAAGAATTTTCTTTGGATCCCAGCCCTTCGTTGTCATATGTTGAACCATTTCACGATGAATCATTCGTGCGGTGTATCCCTGCACGTATATCTTATTTGTAGGGCATGGTGAGTGTTGTCCAGCATGATCCAAGAAGTTCCTCAACCATGCTTCAGCAATTTCTTCTTTCGGCTTTCGCCTTTGGCGCCGGAGGAGAAGTCCTGGCTTCTTCTTTTGAAGCTTTTTCCACTCCTTTTCAATGACATTAAACAGGGTGAGGCAACATAGAGTGCAGAGGGAGATTCCTTTGTAAGAGAAACTTTGACGGCTTTGGGAAAAGTTTTCTTGAATCAGGCGACTTAAGAATTTTCTCTTCTCTCGCTGAGACATCATATCGACATTCTTCGTTGCATTGTGCAGGTCGCCACTCTCCATCTTTCCGATGCAGCAATGGTAGATAGGTAGGTTTCTCCTGCGATGCGCCTTTTTAGGCGTCGATTGGGGTCTGCCCGCGAAGCCTATGGCATTTCAAAAGAAACACATGAGAAATTAGAGTCGTAAATTGACAGAGCATGAAATGCTCAGTAACGCACTTCTACTTTGCAGGAGGGAATTAGCCTTTGAAAAATAAACTTTTAAAATATCTTTAAAATCTTGCGTGAAATCGCGTCGTCACAGGAATTTAACAAGGCATTTTCAGAAAATCTTCTGATGACTTTATAAATTACGGCGAAAAATGCCAACCTCTCATGGTTCTATAAGAAACCTGATACTTTAATTAATTCTCTTTTCAGTACCGATATTGCCTATTAAATTGCGTGCAATGCGAAGGAAACACTATCACGCGTAGATACACTATTTACTTAAATGAAATGATATTGGGTAGGTATGAATTTAAAGAAAAAGAGGGATTATCTAATAAACAGAGATGACGAGGTGTTGGACGTATTTGACATTTCACAAAATTTGCCTGTGTGCGAAATTAAATAGATTTTAATCGCAACTCAATGAGAGGAAATTGAAAATACAATATAACTTTCATGCACAAACCATACAGTAAGCAGGCATGGTCAAGGTGACTAATAACAGCCTTGATTATAAAACATTATCGGACGAATTTCACAACTGCTGTGCCCCAGTATGCATTTTTGCATGGCCTAAATATACAAATGCTGTACCGCAACTTTTTGGGAAAATGATCTGACATTAAGTGAATAATTGTACAGTTAGCGAGTGTTAACGGGCTTCGTAGAAAATATATGGCTGTCAGCACTTATGCTGGATATTTAAATCCATCCTATGAAGGCTAAAGATTGCTTTCGTCTAAATTTGGTGCAAAACGTTTATGCGGCTCAAACACCACACATCACGAGACGAAGTAAAAGTGATCGAAATTTCTGCAAGGAAAACTGCTATCATAGTAGACGAATTTTGCATCCAGATGAGGAAGAGAACATCAGAGGTTCTTCGATTCTAAAATGCATACACGCATGCCATGTGGTCAATTCAACTCAATATTACCTGAGTCTGATCCGAAGAATAGAAGACTCTGACACTGAAAGTCGAGACTCTCAATGAAGTAAATGAGCCATGGTCTCATAACATCCCGGAAAAATTATTCGGGTCCAATGGGTATACTGTACTTCAAATAAGTCATACTGTACAAACAAATAAGTACATACTGTACGTCAAATAACTCGAATGCTATGGTACCTCTGAATTACCTTTTACATAGAAGGATACGTAATTGAATGAAAATGGTGTGGTTATTGGCTAGATGAGCCATAGAAGGAGGGAAAGTAGAAAGTGATTGTTTTCAGGACATGACAACTCTGAGGTCTTACTCATATTCCAGACATTATCTCCTGACTTAGAAATATGTAATAAATTATTATTAATGCACAGATTCTGCAAGGAATGCAAAGGTAAGCAGCATATAGAACATAAAAATCATGTTCTTTCTCGCAAGACTTACAATAGAAATATAATCGGAAAAAATTATCACGAAAAATATAATCCTCGCTTTGTATTTTTTGCGTAAGAAGTGGTATTAAAAACGTTGTAATCAACGTGGCAGACTTGCATGCTTCAACCTGAGCATATTGACAGAACTGAAGTGCCAATTACTCCTATGAACGATCCCTCCACATGTCAATCACGTTCTTATGTCATGAGACGGAACTAACCCTTTAGGGGATCCTCGTTGAAACCGTTGACATCAAAAGAGTCCGTCCCTGAATCGAGTAAAGAGGAGAACGGTTTCAATTAGAAAATCAATGTAATTGTCAGGCCTAAGCGGATAAGAATTGCGAGAGAGATAATTGCCCACAAACAAGGAAAAGAGGTTAATTCTATATATCACCCTCGTTATGAATATATCAATAGAATCAGCGGACTCACCCCACTCTCTCAGCACACTTCTCAACTAGCATTGAATGACTATAATGAACCTGAAGGGCCAGGGTATATCTTAGAAGTTCCTCAAAGATTAAATAAGAAATTTACTATAGGGCGCTTTAAGCACTCTAAGACCTATTCCTATAATGATATTGTGCAACGCCAAGGAATAAGTATTGTCACGAGCACAAAAGTGAGTCATACACGCTATGGCGCAGAGGTGGCGCTAGGATCGCTTGACCCGGACCCGGGTCAAGTTGACCACCCTATTATTAATTATGTTGATGGATCACCATTATGATAAGAGTCAGTGCCCATACATCTGGTACCTTGGCATTAGAGTAAACATTAAGTGGGTACCTGAAATGTTTCTATAAGGATAATAAGGCCGTGAAATATCAAGACTTTACATAATGTCAGGCATCATGGCCACGACCTAGGCTCCAAGCTGAATAATGTTCAGGGAAGAAGGAGACCAAGATCATCTCGAACATCTTGTGGTGCCTCGACCTCTCTTCTCGCCTGAGCTTAATTAATGGCAATGATCATATGGCATACTTTGTCGCGTCTCGTCGCCGGTTTAAGACAGTGCTTCACGTATGTTTCCAGCATCGAGTTGGTGCTTCAATAATATAATTTTTCAAATTTTGACGTTCTCAAAATGCCCCAAAAGTGGGGAAATTTAAATCATTCTGATTTCGACGGTATCTACTGAACATAAGACAGAAAGAGAAGTTGTGGAATCACAGTCAGTGAATAAAGATGCATGACGACGTTCAAAAAACGTTGCTATGCAGGCTGCTTCCAAGAACAATGAAACTGACAAAGAAAGAGCAGGAAGACATGCACGAAACATTCTACTTCGACTAATTCCAGCCCGTGCGCCCATGGGCTTTTAGACTACAGTAGTTTGTCATCTTGTAGTTGCATATATCGTTGAGGAGCTGAAAAAAGGGGGAAATATGCAATTTTTTTATCGTTTCCAGAATAATTTTTATGAATAAAAATGTGAAGCATTGACTTATGAGAGAGGTGGGAGTCCGTGTCGGATGAATTACTTAGGAGCGGCCGAGTCGTCAATATGAGATCTGTTGAAAGAATCCTTTTCTCCCCTGTGTATAATTCCTTCATTACAACACAAACTGGCTAATATACAGGGGGCCCAAAAAAAGTGTTCCGAACTTTACACGCTTGCAGACGGTGTACCATATGAATTATCGACAGGAAACTTACAGGCTTTTAAATGCAATGCTTGCAAGTAAGGTATCAAATATTTCATTGAAATTGATTGTAAACTACGTGAGTAACAATTTTTCTCCCGTGCGATGTCAAAAGAGCGAGTGTGCTAAGGAACGCGCCTGAACTCAATGAAAAGGACCGAAGTTTCCTCTTACCGAATTTACTCGTGTATGAGGCGAATGTTCCATACATGATTTCCTTGTGTCCATGAGGGGCGCGTTTTGTACTCGGGCAAAAAAAGGTCAATTTTAAGAATAAGAAAATTTCAGCGCATCCATCGTTCATAGTTCATTTATTGAGACGGAAGCAGTGTTTGTAACCAGTCAGAACGACGGAAATGTAAGGTAATAAAAAAAACCGTACACAGAGGGAATGTCTACGCCAATTCGCGCTGACTTCACTCGGTATCGGAATCATGAACTGATATGTCTGGAGGCATGGAAGGTTCATTCGGGGATCACTCATCCTCCTAGGAGGGGTCATTTCGGAAACAATAGTTTCGCTTGAAGATGTTTGTGCCACTGAGGTTTTCCGTCAATCGTGAAGCTTTGAATTATTTATGGGAAATACTGCCAGATAGATGCCAGTATAGTTTTCGGCAGGGAAAAAGCTGGGTAGGAAAGGTAGGAAGGAATTTGGTCGAAAATCGAATAGAGCAGCAAGTTTGACATCGTGAAGGAGAGAAAAGCTCATATTCGCTGTATTATCTTACCCACATATCCTAATCTATCATAATCGTGCAGGTCGTCAATTTCCGAAGGAGGGCTTTAGCAAAATATTTTAGGTTACTCTTGTATGAAGATGCTTCTCCGTACCATGCTGTTCAAGGATTGAAATCTCATGCAGATAACGTGACTTGGGACGAATGGGTTTTTCAAATGCTCTAAATTTAAGGAATCATCGATTTGTTTTCGGAGGGGTTTAGGCCACCGACGAATATGCCAAAACTGCGGGCGTCCCATGAAGAAGCCAATCGAAGGAGGAGGAGGAGTTATGGAATCCACCACCTCCTTCTTCCCCCTCCCCCCTCCCAACTCCTTGCCGCGAAAACGAGGAGCTAATCAGTCGACTCTGAACCAGGCTCCTCACTTCAGTGTCCGCTTATCCAGCCGCAAACTTTCTCTGTTAGAATGGATTTCGCCAGTTCTTCTCTGCCACTCAGAGATTGTGCAACACCATGTCACGAAGAACCAAGTGGAAGGACTTCTGCGTCGTCGCCATGTATCATCACGCATGTACGTCTGAATGGACTACGCGCGACAACCATTCCACATTTCTTACTAAGTTTAGTAAAAGCTGGTTGCATATAACTGAAGAAAGTGAGCAGAAGCAATACTGATTTATTCATTTCAGAATTCTTTAGTCTTTAATTTTGCCAATTTAAACGGCTTAGTTGAGCAAAATGAATTTCGGAGACTTTCTCTCTGGGTCAGTTATGAAAATTCCTTAAGGCTACATTTCAGGAAGACATTTTCACTGGTTGAATCCGACTGGCATTCCTTGTTCCTCTGCTGAAGCCTTGGCAAAATTTAACACGCACTTGAGTCATGTCGAGAAACATTTGGGATCAGGTAATAATCAATGTCGAAATTATGATTATATATTATCATGCTCATATATATTATCATGCTCATACCTATTTAATAGGTAAAGGACTGCGTTTCGATGCAAATCTCTTGCTACTTCAACAAAAGCTTCGAAAGACAATCCAGCCCAATGCAATCCCAGTTCTCAGACTATAGTATTGTCCTTATTTCTTTAGAGCACCCTGCCTTTTTGCCAACGACTTTTTCACACTGCTTTTCCACCTGAGTAGCCTGAAAATTATTTCCTGTAATTATTCACATATTACCTTTTTTAAAATCACGCATATCAGTTACACGAATTCGAGTAGTGCCTCCGATTTAGTTTGTAGTGACTCTCTTGCTTTACTTCCAATGTATATGCCGACCGAGAACGGCCTTTTCAGGCCTCATAAGTACATATTTAGCGACACATAATTATCCAAATGTCCAGAAAATTGCACAACCAGGCTCAGGAGAGGGCACAAAAAAGCGAAATAAAAAAATATAAAGCTCCAATACCTCTCTTTTTTCTGCATTTGATATTCAATGGAGCCATTGTACTGGAGCGAACATCTGACCAATGACAAAGCTTTCGTTGCATTCCAATGGTGACACTTGTAAAACGTCCGTGTATGTGACTTGGGAAAGTATTTTGTGATCGTAGAGAAGAACGCAGTCTCAATATCCTAAATTTTGAAAGAGTGTTGCGTCGTTGCGTCAAAACTCAATGCATCTCTCGAAAAATCCATTTTATAAATTAAAATCGAAACATGCAAGGTTCAGCACAACTGAACACGAAAACTAGAAACCCCCGAAAACTCTGGAAGACTAGAATCAATGTCTATTTTCTGTTCACGTTGTGATTTTTCACCTCGAATTGGTTTATGAATCCGTTTGGCTATTTCTTGTTTCAGCAAGCGACAAGTTCCATTTCCGGGACAAGTGGGCCTTTTTCTGGAAAGAGGGAGGGAAAGTTTACTTCATGGTTGCTGATAACGTGTCTGACGAAGGAAAGAGACTCAAAATGAAAGGCGGAAACAGAAGAGAGTACACCGCCATCACGCAGGCAAAGTTACATCAGGACTCAAGATACGTGGAGGTAAGCCACTGAATCTGTAGCAATTAGAAAACGTATAATGCTGCGGTAAAACAGAAGTCATTTGAAGATTCACTATGTTTGAATTCTTGAATCCCTTGTAGTTCGAGTTTGAAGCGACGCAACGGACTGCAGCCATGCCCATCAAGAGAATCCTCATCAATAACAAGATCACACGAGAATTGATGGCGCAGTACTTGAAGACCAAACAGCGACGCCAATTCGTGGAACATTTCAATAAGGTCTTGCGAAATCGCAGCCAGGAGCATACAGGACAGCATGGTGACCTGGAACAATTGTCAAGGTATCATACTTATTCATGAAATGGGTCATGCAAATTTTTTTAAAAGTCTCAGTGCAAGTATGTTAGTGCAGGGCAAATTGACCTCCCATGAGTGCAACCTAAAGAGAGGGAGGGAGAATCGGAAGAAAAAGATGGTTTGGGTTTGCATTCGTAAATGTCTCGGTATGTCGCAGTCATGAGTAGCGCTTGCACGAATTTCTCATGAGTCCCTATTGACATGGCACAAGGGTGATAAAATGTGGGCGGATGTCTTCAGCACCTTCTCTTTCCCCAGTGAAGCATCCACTCTCCCCTTTTCCTTTTACCCTGCAAAATAAATATATTTTAGAACGGAAAAACACTTAAAAATATGGTACTTGTAAGTAATGCTTAAATCAATTATCATAAATGTTGCTCAAAACGATTGATAGCATGAAGTTCTTAATAACTTCGTTTTATTATACGTTTTATTAGATCTGAGGAGGGAAGGAAGGCTCATGCAGGTACCTCCCAAAGTGCAAGTGCTTCTTCCAGAGACACCGGTCGTGTAAAACATATTTAAAAGAAAAAAACGATTTTACAAAGTTGAAAATTACTTCAAAACTTCAAACGAAAGAGCAATTCAATTGCAACGAAAAGCACTTAACGAGTTTCATTTTAATTTTGAGGTTTCATTTTAGTTGTTTGGCTGGAGCGCGTACAATATTTGTGTGTATTGGCCAACACATATGATGAAATGCTAAGGAGAGGCACTCCAAATGGAATGATTTCCTAACTTTCAGCCAAATTATCAAAATTTATTGTCCAAACCTGACCATTATTGTTGACATTCATAGAAATGCGAGGAAAATTTGCTTGCTCCAGCAGAACCAAAGAGACATCGAGATATGTGCTGCTTTGTGGCCATGTATTGTGTAAAATGGTTCAATGTTATGTGACAAAATGGCTGTGTTTTTCATATAGTTTTCACTAATGACTTTCAAGGCCATCTTTCCTCCGTGGAACCTTAATAAGTTGTGGAACAGACCACCGATTCATCCTGTAGAAAGTGGATTTATGTCTGTGTCTCAATTCCCAGCTAAAATTGAAAAGAGATTCTTAAATTGCTATTTGGACGAATCCCCGAAATACTGGAGGTTCTCATTCGAGCTGAGCTTCGGACAATTGTCCGAATTCCGACTGTATGCGATGAGGGGAAGGGGCCCCCTTGCTCAAATTTGTTTTCGGGCAATTGTCCGAAATCCAGCTGGAAGGAGGGGAAAGCCTTCTGCATGAGTCGAGCACTTTGCCCAAAATCCAGACGGATTTCGGACAAATGGCCAAAATCCGCCGAGACGCGGGGAAAAGAAAACCTCATACTTCAGGCGCGTTTTGAACGAACAGTCGAAACCGTATCAATACAGGAATTGTTTTGTTCCCCAATGGGCCTTCTGCCTCCTCCGGAAATTCCAAAAAGTGTCTCAAATCGACTCCTCATAAATTTCATCCAGAGATTTTCGACCTTCAATCAACTGGGATCAGCATATCATTGTCAACATTTCTCAATATTCCTCCTTCCCAAAAGGGAAATTCTCATGCTCCCATAATAATAATGACAAGTGACTTTTCATACCCATTTAATTCATCTTTCATAATTAAAAAAACGCCAACACTCTGACGGGCGCCAATTACACATGGGAATATTGGTACAGTAAAGTACAGTAACATTTAGACATCGCAGAGCAATAGAAACGCGGGAGGACTGTTTCCATGTCTTGAAGTAGCAAGAGCGAAGTAGAGAGGAATCATAATTTCATTCTTTCTACTCAATTGCAGAAACAAAGAAACAATATCGGAAATTCCAAAAAGTGTCTCAAATCGACTCCTCATAAATTTCATCCAGAGATTTTCGACCTTCAATCAACTGGGATCAGCATATCATTGTCAACATTTCTCAATATTCCTCCTTCCCAAGAGGGAAATTCTCATGCTCCCATAATAATAATGACAAGTGACTTTTCATACCCATTTAATTCATCTTTCATAATTAAAAAAAGCCAACACTCTGACGGGCGCCAATTACACATGGGAATATTGGTTCAGTAAAGTACAGTAATATACATCATTTAGACATCGCAGAGCAAGAGAAACGCGGGAGGACCGTTTCCATGTCTTGAAGTAGCAAGAGCGAAGGAGAGAGGAATCATAATTTCATACTTTCTACTCAATTGCAGAAACAAAGAAACAATATCACATCAGATGAAATTCATACTCAATGAAATTAGCGGAAACAAAGAGAAGGAAAAGGAGACAGAGAAGGCAGCAGGTACTGTTACACTGGGGGAGGGAAGGGGGGGGGGGTGGGAAACAAACAGGAAAAGCCCAAAATTTTTCATGGTTGAGTAAAGGCAAACCCATGTTGGAGACTGAGCAGCTTCATAGCATAACGAAGTTCCTGAATGTAACGAATACTATGTAGAAAGAAGCACGCAAATAAATAATCTACCTCCATCAGAACGAAGTTTTTCTTAACGTATGCACCCCACCTCGTATCAAACGTTCCTTGGATGCCGGCACACATTGCGTGTTCAGACATTCAATCCTCTGAAGGACAATGGATGGTAGAAAGATTGCGAGAGCTTGAAACCCAAATTCTTTTTGTGGGAAACGCTGCAGCAAAAATAAATAAGTAAGTTTATTTGCCTTGATTGGGCTCGTCAGTGTCCACATATATAAAACGATGATAACTTTAGAAAATAAAAAGAACCAGTTGAATCAAAGGAAAAGTAAGAGAGAGGGAGGGAGAGAGTAAAGAGAGAAAAACTTAACTTACTTAACTTAATAACTTACTGCGAATCATCACATTGAATTCTAGTTTTCAAGTCATTTTGGTGTTAATTCTGCTTGTCTGATGTCATCCCCACGCAAATGTTTCCACCTTTAAAAACAAGTTTCTTACTTTCCCCGATAAGGTCATTTCGGAATTGTTCCTTCATCCAGTACCGTTTTATAACACAACAGTATATGTCGTTTCTTTTATAATCATTCCATGACAAGCAACCCATTGGTAACACACTACACTCTCCAATTTCCATGATATACAGGCTTTTCATGTCCCTACACCCCAAAATGGGACATTTCAGCCTCACTGAGTCTGACGGCAAAAAGTTGCACAGGGTGGTCAACATTTCGTGTCACCTTTTAACATCCGGTTTTGATAGCCCTGTAACTAAGGAGTGATTTACAACAATGGATAATTAGTCAATTCAATGGAAATTGCGTGAAGAATTTCTATATTGGCAGTATCTTAATGCTGAAGCCAATAAATCTTGTATTTATCTGATCTAAATATGATTCTTGAATTTTTAATGAAACCTCAAGCATTAAAACCTTTAAAATTTCAAAAGGTTTGCATTTTGTTGTGGAGAGGAATGACACTCGGACATATTAGGCTCTTATGAAACTGGATTTTAAAAAATGATGGAAATAAACTCTTAATAAGAGAAGCGCTCCCTTTTCCTGCCTATGTTACGCCCTTAAGAATTGAGAGCTTAGAGAAGCTGAAGAAAAGCATCTCACTAAAAGGACGTCCGATGGAACAATTTTGCTAACTTCAAGAAGACTGTAGATATTGTTCCAGCTCCATTCTAATGCCTGCCTTTCCCTCCCCTTAAACGCAATACCTCCTCCTCACCTCCTTGGCATTTTTAAACATTACTCAAAGGCTTCTGCAGAAAGTAGTAGAGGTTGATTAATATATCGATCAACATGCACAATGCCCCAGAAAGGCCCTGCCAGCATCCGTGACATGTGTGGATAAAAGGCTCAGTTGATAGAGGAGCGAATGCCCTGTCAGTGAAATTCCCAACGACATTCATTATTCAATGGAATCTTTAACTTTCTAGAGTAATAGCAGTGAAACGTTCAGGCAACATTTCCGAGTTTATAAAACCTTCCGAACTTTGGTGAATACAGAAACACCGGAATGGTGAAGTCTATGACAAGTAAGTGCTACTTGGTACGAATAGACAAAAAGACCCGTGATTGCTCGCCGAGCGTTTCCTGCAGAATTCGGTCGAGGTTCCCCTTCTCGTGTGAACATTATCAAGTCGCACAATGCCCTCACAGAAACCGGAAGTGCGCGAAAGGCGAACACAGAAAACGGCGATTCACAAGGCACTCGGAAGATGTCAACCGCATTCGAGAACATATGAGGTTGGCGTCTTCTTCTGAGTGCCTTGTTAATCGCCGTGTTCTGTCCGCAATTTCCACACTTCCAGTTTCCATTAAGGCATTGTGCGACTTGATTATGGTTATGCGAGAAGTTGGATCACCATAAAAATCTTAGGTTAGCACTACTTTGTGTTAAAATATTATTGAAATTGGTAATTATTTGCACGAGCAGTAGCCAAACAAATCGGTATATACTTATATGGGCCACCATGTACTTGTAATAGTTTTCCATCTTCCAATTCGACTGCGAATCGACTTCCAATTCCACTGGGAAACGGAACGCAATAAAATCTTTGAAGAACTCTTCCGTTCGTCGACTTTCGTTCGTCGTTCGTGAAGTCTTTCAAAGGACTGAAGGTGAAGTAACCAGTGACGAAGGAGCAGGTCATTCTGCAAATCTGAAATTCTGCATTTTGAGAGCTGGACGCCCGCGATGAAACGTGGAACTCTCGTCTCTTCGTCCGCCCAAAAGATGGCAAGACGAGAAAGCGAATCTCCGACTTTCCCTTAGACACGACTCCCTTCGCTTCCTTGTGGCCGACTTGCAGATTCCATTCCACAAAGGCAAAGATGTCCAAAGGTACAACCTCAGACGATAAGGATGGTTTCTGGCAAACCCCTACTTTTTTATTTATCCCAGACCATTTGGCCGGTAGAGCTGTCTTATGCTCGCGCACGCAATTGTCGTTTGGCCTCGCCAGCGGTCGGAATACCTCACGCTATCTGCTTACCTTTCGGCTTTAACGATACTCCTGTGGACAATTTACTTTCCATAATATAAGACTGTATTGGACTTGAAGCCTGTCCCTTCGTAAGAAATGCATGGACTAAATTTTTTAAGAAGGAACTTTTGGTCAATTTGAAAATTTTATACACCAGTGCATAAAAAGTGTAAATGGCTCTCAGGTATCCTTGCTGCTGTGTACTCCCAAATAATCGATCATTCAAAAAAGCACATTTTCTCTCACTCCACCATCATCTGCGTCGAAAGGATTTTTGAGAATGAATTCCTAGCAGAAGATCGTTCGAGTCCAATCGAGTCCATCATGAGAAGCACTAAGAAATTCTATGGGTGTTTCAGCGGTTTCCTCGTTGTTGACCAAGAAGATGACAGGAGATAAACTTCACGATTGATGGACTGATGAACGCTTCCACGAAGTCCATTATTTGAAGCAAGAAGTAAAGAACGTTGACGAGCCCCACCCACTCGAATAACGAGGCTGAGGATGTCATCGCGCTCGGGAAAACGCGCAGGCGGCATCCCATTAACTCCTTTCGCCCCAAATTATTCCAGTGCCGTCCAAGTTCAGTGATGGATTGGAAAATATTTTCGAGACTT